CTATTAAAATTATTTTCTTTTGTATTCAAAGTACCTATACATTATTAGTCTACGATGCGAACAAGACTTTTTACCGACCGTATTGTGTAAACAATAGGTAGGTTATGTGATGGCAACAAATTTTGCATATCGAGTTTTCGGTGGGAATGCACTTCTCCATAGTAGGGAAGTGTAAATAAACTATTTTTAGCAACCTGTCGGTCTGTCGGTCTGTCGGTCTGTCGGTCTGTCCGTCTGTCGGTCTGTGTGTGCACGCGTGTATCTCAAGTTCGGCTGAACCGATTTTGATGAAATTTTATATGTAAGTTTGTTTCCACCATGGCACGGATCGATCAACTTTTGGTATATATCAGGCCTCGGGAACTGCACTTTTTAGCGGGCCTGTTTTACATTTTTGAACATTTTGAAGAAAATATTCTACCGATTTACTTGAAATTTTATATATAAGCTCAGCTCGACCGTCCGCAAAAATTCGTATGTTTTGGAAGAAATCAGGCATCGGCAACTAGACGTTTACTACGGGCCAAATATACATTTTTGTGTATATAAAGAGAAATAATCAACCGATTTCATTGAAATTTAATATATAAATTCCTCGTATTAAAACAATGAACATATAAATTTTTTGGAAAGATCAGGGCTCGAAAACGGATTTGCGGGCCGATTTTACATTTTTCACCATTTTGAAGAAAGTATTCAACCGATTTACTTGAAATTTCATATATAAGCTTTGCTCGATCATACGCAAAAATTCCTAACTTTTGGAAGAAATCAGGCATCAGCAACTGGGCGTTTACTACGGGCCAATATACATTTTTGCGTATATAAAGAGAAATAATCAACCGATTTCATTGAAATTTAATATATGAATTCCTCATATTAAAGCAATGAACATATAACTTTTTTGGAAAGATCAGGGCTCGAGAACTGATTTGCGGGTCGATTTAACATTTTTCACCATATCCGCAGAACAAATTGATGGAATTTCTTGAAATTTGATATTTGAGTTTTGGTTGTTACCGAAACTAACTGGCGAGCATTTCAGGGAATTCGGGTAGCACAAAGCGAAACTCTACTAAGAGCCAAATTTACATTTCTTACTTACTAATGTCCTTAAAATTGGAAAGAAGTATTTAACAGACATTTTTATAATATTCTGTAACACTTTCATTTAACTAGACAATACACAATGCGGTCGGTTATGTGCTGACCACATCAGATTTTTTTTATTGTCAATATCGCGCAATCATAATCCGGATTTTATTTTCATGGAAGTCAAAGTCTTTCGGTTTTTTATTTCTGTTATTATTTCGCGTTTTTTTTATTTGTTTATTGTTGCTTCTCAATTTCAAAATTTTTGTGTTACATGAAAAAAAGTCAAGAAAAATATCTAAGCATTTTAATAAAAAAAAAACGTAAAAAAATTTTCTGGCAACAAAAAAACAAATGAAGTTTTTTTTTATTAGTTTTTCCTTTTTTTATTAAAATTGTTTTTTTTTTTGTGATATTTGACCCAATTTGTCATGCATTATCGTAGCAGGAGTATTTTGATTGACGGGTGCATGATAACCTGTCTGTAATTTTAATATGACAAAAAAAAAATATTTTTGATGCATGATCAAAAATTTTATTTTTCTTGAAATTTTTAAGATTTTTGAGTTAAATAAAAAATATTAAATTGCATAAAATGACATTCGTTTAAGTTTTAATTGTAGGTAAGTAAAGGTATACAGAATAATTGTTGAATATTAAAAAGTCGATTAAGATAATCACGAATTCAATTATTGCAGTTTGGCAATAATTTTTCTGACTATTTGTACAATTTTAGATTTGGCTCATGAATAGAGTTTTTTTCCAAGAGGGGGCCTTGGGATTTTGTCCTTTTTTACGTCCATCCATAGGCACTTTTTTTGATTCTCATTCCCGAGTTACAAATAGTTAATTGTAGACACATATAATTTAGTTAATTGACCAATTCATAATAGTTAATTGTTATACATAATTTTGGTATTTAAATTATTTGACAACAATGTAGATATAGTGAAATTTTCTCGAACTTACATAAACCAGAAATTTAAAATCAGAAATGTTTGAAACAAGAAATTATTAAGAGACAACCCTAGAAAGCGTTTGGGGTTCAATATTGTTTTTAAATATTAGTCAGTAATAGGAATTATTGAAGTTAAAAATGTTAAATAGTATACCAACTTTGCATAAAATTAAAATTTATAGTATATCCAATATTCAATTAACGATAAACAAGGAAAAGATTTTTTAATAGAGTGTATATTTTGATATCACATAATAATAGATAATCCAGGATGAAAATTTTGCATAAATTTAGGAGAAATCCTTAATTAAAATCAATCTGTATCGTTAATAATTATTTTAAATTGGGCACATGAGTAATAAGTGCATACGAGGGTCACTATTTATATTTCGGGTCTAGCAATAAAAAACAAACATTTATCATTGGAAATGGTTTTATTGTTTTTCAAAATATTCCCCATGAAGATCAATACACTTTTGCATGCGCTGAAACCAATTTTCGTAGCACTTTTTCCACTCCGATTGAGACACCTCCAAAACATGGTTTTTGAACGCATCGACTGCTTCTTCAGGTGTTGAAAATCGTTGTCCACGCATTTTTTTTTTGATGTGAGGGAATAAGAAGAAGTCATTGGGTGCTAAATCAGGACTGTACGGCGGATGACCCATCAATTCGACATTTTGAGTGCTCAAATAGTCCATTGTTTCAGCTGATTTGCGAGAGCTTGCATTGTCATGATGAAGAATGATTCGCCGGCGCTTGTTTGTTTTCCTTATTTCTTCGAAAACTTTCGGCAAACAGATGGTGGTGTACCATTCAGAATTGACCGTCCTACGTTCCACTAAAGGTACTGTGGCCACATGACCGGTTATACCAAAAAAAAACGCGATCATTTGCTTCGATGTGCTTCTTCCACGAACAACTTTTGTTGGATTTGGCTCGTCTTGGAACACCCATACGGTCGATTGCTGTTTCGTTTCGGGCTCATATGCATAGATCCATGATTCATCACCTGTGACTATCTTATAAACGTCTTTTGACGCACCGCGATTGAATTTTTTCAACATTTCTTTGCTCCAATCGACACGAGCTTTCTTTTGTGCAATCGTCAAATTTTTTGGGATCCATCGACAACACACCTTTTTCACGGCAAGATGTTCATGCAATATCTTATGTACGCTGGTGGAACTAATGCCCAAGGATGCCTCAATCTCACAGTATGTCACATGCCGGTCCATCATTATCATTTCGCGCACAGCATCGATGGTTTCCGGCAAAACGACCGAAATTGGCCGACCTTCACGAAATTCATCCTGGAGCGAACGGTGTCCGAAACCAAACTCTTGGTACCAGCGATTTACAGTGGTTTTTGATGGTGCTTCATCACCAAAAGTCGAAACAAGTTGATCGAGACACTCTTGTCTCGATAATCCGCGCCGAAAATCGTAAAAAATCATCGCACGAAAATTTTCACGGGACAATTCCATTTTTTGACCGAGATGAATTTTTCAAGTCACTGTAAACAAAACAATTCGCGCTCGAATGACAAAACGTTCTGAGTGAAGTTGTCCTAAAAAATGTCAAACTTTCCAATGGAAGTGTCAGATTGCACCTGGCAGCACTAGTATTGCCAGGACCCGAAATATAAATAGTGACCCTCGTATTAATTTCGAATAAGAATTAATTTACTGTTTGTATTGTTTAGTACAGAAACAGTGTTAGTAGTATTTGCTTTAATAAAAGTTCGATGGAGCATGTAGTGTTGACGAAAGAGGAAACCAAAATATGACAGTCTTGGTTCCCTGCTTCAAAAGTTTCAGAAATATGCAATGAATTTCTTTTAATTTAAAATAAAACATTTGTATTGATCTTTTTGAGCTATTAAAATTTGAGCCTTACCTTGATGTTTAAAATTTTTAGTTTTTATTACACATACAGTGACCTAACAAAACTTAAATAAATTGTATGACGTTAGTAGACTATCGTATATGAATAATTTTGTACAAGTATTTCAATTAATTTTAATATATGATCTCTCATAAACGGTTTACACATAGATATTTTTAATAAATATATGTACATGTAGGTACTTCAATGAATAATGCCATAAATACTTACTCAATACATTAAAGAATATTTATCATAATAAAAAAAAAAAAGTATTATGTAAAATCTTTTTTAATGAATTAAAATAATTTGTTCTGACTCAAAATTTTTGCTGTATGCATAAAAGAAATTTTTAATTTAAATCATTGAATGAATCACTATGAAATTGCCATCATACAATTAAATTGAATATACAAATGCAATTAATGTATTATTGTAAATACGTACGCGAAAAATACTCGAAACAGGAAATAGGAGTAAATAATCCGAATTTCTAACCTAAATGCCTTAAAGCTATGTTATAACGAATTGATAACAATTTGAAATATTTGCATTTACGTTTCAGTTCAGCATAGAATATTCAAAAATATTAATTAAAATCATAAGTTCATTGAATTCATAAAAATATTCGTAAAATTTCTTGAAATTAAATTTTATACCTCTTGTATAAGAATTTAATCATTCTTTTTTAACGATTTAATATTTTTATACTTTATTATTAAAATATTTTCGAAAGCCCCGAAATTCTCACGACCAAAAAATTTCTTATGAATCATCTTTTTAATAATTGATTACCTAATCTATAAACTACAGTAGACTGACCTTTAAAATTTTGTTCTGTTTTAATATCATGATACTTTTTTACACAGAAACACACACAATATTATATAAGAGAAAAACATTAATTCCTATAAATAAATTAAATTTATAAGATTTAATTGCATACCCATATTAAGAATATTAAGATTAAAAAAAAAAAACAATAATGAAATGAAGAAAAATTAACAAAAATATTTTTGTTCCAACACCACCATAATTTAATTTAAAAAGAAAAAAAAAATACCTGGCCTCTTTATCAACAACGTCAATACTGTTGTAATTTGAATGATGATGATTATTATTTTGTCCATGATGTTGATGATGTCCATTATGATTACCATTAGTTGTTTTATTCAAAGTTGAAATATCATTGATATGATCAAAATTAAAACCTTTATCTTCGGTAACCATATAAGTTGGTAATGATTGAATTATTGTATTGGCCTTGTCATTATAGTTACCTAACATTTCACGATATTTAGAGTAAACTAAACGTTTCAATTGTGGATTAGATCTAGATTGTTCATGAGATGGTTGTTGTTGTATTGTGGTAGCCATATTTAATTTTTTTTTTATATTTTCACCATGTACCGATACTTAAAAATTCTTAAAGAATTTTTTATTTTTTCGTATTTTGTTTTTTTTTTTTTGTTACTTTAATCAAAAATTCTTTATTAAAATTTTTTTCAAATAACTTTTAACTATTTTTATTAGATACACCCTAAAACAAATATATACGATAAAAATTTTTAGTTTCTTATTAATATTTAATTTAATTCAAAACTATTATCTAACAATAATAATTCAATAAAATTTTTATCTCTAATAATAATTTGAATTTTAAATTTTGTTTTTACATTTACAAAATCAATAAATTAAAAGTTAACGAGAATAGATATGGGATATCGTATAAGTAGTCTAACACACTGAAACACAAAAAACAAAACAAGTCATGAGATGTGATGCAACATGCAACACTTATTTAAATACACAAAAAAAAGCAAAAATTTTAAGATGATGCATCCACGAGCCACGGAAAATTAATTTTTTTTATTGAGTTTTTTTTTCTGTACAGGTAACCCTGATGAGGTAACAATGATACATTGATCATGAAAGAGAAGAAAAAAAAACACACAAATTATTTTTTTCCTTTGTTTGCTATCTAACAAAAAATTGCTGACCTAAACAAATATTGTTGCATCTAATAATTTAGGGCAATCATTTGGTATTATGAATATCAAAATCGAATAAGACGGCTTGAAAATGGTACGCAAGCGAATGGGTGATGAATAAGACATGAGGGACTTTTGCTTTTTGCAAATGTCACACATAAAGTCAGAACGAAAATTGCGTACCCTTTACAAACTAATGAACACATCGTTCGTCACATGTAATTAAGACGAACTAGTATTAATACGATTAACTACAAAAATTTCGTTTCTAATCAAACAAATTTAAATACAAAGTTTTATAGAATGGTTTTTTATTCAAAGTTATTTGAGTAAAAAACCATTCTATAAAAATTTATATAAACTTTAATTTTCAACACTTCTATGAATTTTGAATTCAAAGTAACAATAAATCGAACAATTTACTAAGTAGATTCTAAGGTCAAAATTATATTCAAAGATTACCCAAAAATTTCCATACAAAATTTATTACTCATGATAAAATATCGAAAAATTCCTTCACTGTATGACATAAATCTTATATACATACATACATTTACATATGTACATACATATAATATATGCATATATTTTGTATATTAGACAGATTACGGTTTATTTATAAAATATGTTATTGTTAACTGCATACCCTAAAACGCCGGTACACATTTAATTTGGAACTTTGGACCGAAATCAAATAAAAAACGAATGAAAGAAAAAATGTTACAAGAAATACACAGAGATACAAGAAAAACCGAAAAAGTAAAAAAAAAAAAATTAACCTTTATGTGCGCTGTAATTATGCGCTGAAAGTAGATTTTATTACGATGAGTCATCCTGATTGGAATTTCTGATTAATGACAATTCAATTGTATGCGACATAATAATATTCTGGAACCAAATTCTATTATAAACATTTAAAATCTATTCTATGCTAGATAGTCAGTCACACATGATACATTGTACAATTAATTTTCAGGTAGAGTTTGAGTACGTCTCACCTTTTAAATTTTTCTTCTTTCTATTTTTTTTTTCCATTCCGAAGAAATAATAATGGTAATTTTTTAAAATTTTATTTGAAGGTTACAATCAGGTAAACCAGATTTAAAAGAAACGTACGTGATGTTGTTTGACTATTTTTTTATTTCGTATTACTTTTGTTTTTTCTTTTTTGTAGGATAAAGAGAACCACCCAGTTGCTTTTGGTTTTTTATTAAATTATTGAATTATGTAAGTACGTTGACTTATTGCTTTAACAATTAATATTTTAACTTCCATAAGTAGTTCAAATATAATACAAAAAAAGAATGTGTGTAAGTAGGAAAATTTTTCAAATTATTGAAAATGACGTGGTTTTGTGCAAGATGTGCAGGCGAAATTCACGAATAAAAAATTTTTATTGCTACTTTTGTATATATATGAATTGTGAGCAGGTTTGATTCAACGTTGAAATTTATTAAAAAATTGAACATGAACTCGTAAATTTCTGCTGTCACAGTAACTTGCAAAAAACATTTCGTTTATTGAATTAATATTGTTATACAAAAAAAGAACTTGAGTGGTCCCAACCAAAAATTTGAATCTAGGACATTTTATTAGAAAATTAAGGATTTTTAAGTAATATTTAAGTAAAGTTTGTTATTTGAGACGATGATGGAGGAAAATATCGATAAAAACTTTTGAAAGCTTAAGTTATTATTGCTTCATTTTATCACTTTATTGCTTTAAAATTGAAAATCACCAAATTTTCATTTGTTACAAAATCTTGAATTTATTAATTTTCATCATATTTTTTATAAGTATTTAGTTTCGAATTTGTCGATATTAGATTTTAATTTGTAAAACTCAAGCCAATTTGGCAGAGTAAAACTTGAGCCAATTTGTTTTACTCTGCCAAAACAAATATAAAAATTTTTCAAAATTTTTTCTTTAAATTACAATTCCTTAACTTAAGTAAGTATTAGAAAAGATATTTTTTGAAATGAATATAAAAATGTTTGCGAAGGAACAATTAGGACAATAAAGATATAAAGAAAGGAGATGAAAATGAGAATCAATCCTGTACGAAAAATTTGCCATACTAAACTATAGAAACTAAAAAATGATTTTTTAATCTAAATTTTTTCTTTGTAACTAGATCATGGTCTTCTCGAGTTTTAAAAAAATTATTCAACTTAACTGCAAATAATACGAAAAATTATTATTAATTCAACGGTTATCAACGGTTGCTAACGCAATTTGCAGCACGATTTATTAGATTATCTATCTATAAATATTGCCATATTTGTACATTATTATCTTAAACAAATAATTGTAATTAATTATAAAAATACGAAAAGAAGCAAAATATGAAATAATATTTAACCATAATTACATAAATAAGCACAATTTTTTCTGCATAAATATTAAAAAAATTATATACAATTTCCAATAATTTTCATATAAAATTTCCCTAATTAAAACTACCGCGTATATACGCTATAAATAAAGATAAAATGTAGAATATAAAATAATGAGCCTTAAAGAAAATAAAATCTAGTTTTATACTTGCACGAATATCAGAAATTCTTAAAAGAAAACTTTATTTATATTGAAAATCTTGCAAATTTTAACTGAAACAGCTTCTACACTGCAACACCGCACCTACCTTTACATTATAATAAGTGTACATTTTTTATCATAAATTTTTTTTCACTTTTGATCAATAATAATTTAATGCACGCATATAATAAAATTAAATGGTGTAAATGTTATTAACACAGAATAATTTATTTATGTATGAATGTTTGCAGAAAATTGTTAACAATCGCGTATACGAGTATTCAAGTAACAACAGCGTTGTTTATTTGTTTTTTTAAGTGGAAATAAGAGTAAAATATTATTATTAAACAATTATTAAGATTATTACAGTTAATAAAAAAAAGTATAGAAAAAATTATATATTGGAATTTTATATTGGAATTTGGATTGAATAATAGGCATAGATTCTTAAATATTAAAGTATGAAGCAAATAAAAAAAGTTGCCTGAATTGCAAGAACAACTGTGCGATCACCGGTAATTATAAAAATTTTTGAGCTCTTTCTTTTGAACAATAATGGTTTTAAAACGTGTATGAGTATCTTGTATTCTTTCCTAATACAAATTACACTAAAAGTTTCTCAACATATCTTTTGTATAACACTTTATGATTTATAAAAAAATTTATTAAAAATTGAAATTTCTTACAGTTTATTTACATACATTAGCATATTATCAGTGTTTAATTATAGTAAAAACTTATGACTTCTATAAAAATAAATTGGGAATTGAAAAAGTTTTTAAGATTCATAACATTTTTAATCCAATATAATTCGAAAGCAGGTCGTATGACAGTATAAATATGCCAAATTAATATTACTTTTTTAAATTACTCAAATTCTGAAACTACTTATTTGTACGAACAAAAACTATTTAGGGAAGTTTTATTTACCTATGTACATACGCTACATAAAATTGCAAAGAAATTTTTATTGATTACCATTGCGCTTAAAAGAAAAGTTCTTATTAAATAATTAAATTTTTTCTATTTTTATTTAACATTTCTGAATATTGCGAATAAGAATGCAAATGAACTAAATATTTTTATTGTAATTTATAAAATAAAAATGTTTAATATCTCTTTAAATGACCTGGAATTGAATTATTTTTAATACAAGTTATAAACTATGAAAAAAATTTTTTAAGAATAAACTTGCTTTGTATAAGTATAACCACAGGCAATGAGAATTCAACTGGTTCAAAATAACATAATTTTATATTTTATTAAATAAAATGCAACTATTTCTACTAATAACGCACATATCCCGTTGATAACGCATTAAAATAATCTACAATAATAGTTACGAGCTATGAAAATCGCAAACGGATAAACTTTCAAGAATCAACTGAACAACATTTAAAATAGATGCCTAAAATTATTGATTTTAATTTTTAAAATTCAAATTATTTAATTATAACTATAAATGAATTATTTTTCAACATATTTAAAAATCTTTAAATTTAATAAACACACTTTTCTATTTCTTAGTAAATTGTACAAAAAAAACTTGATAAATTATTATTTAAAGTCATTAATAAAATGTTCTACTCGTATTCATAAATGCACTTGATCCTTTTTATAACACAAACTGTAACACAAACTATAAAATTATTTGAAATTCTACGAGTATTTGGTACAATCTCATACAATATTGGTCCATTATACCGTATAAATTAATTAAAAATTATTATAAATTATAAAATACTTCTACTAATTTCCAAACACAGTAGAAAAAAATCTTTAAATTTTTATACAACAATATGAACGTAAAAAAAAAATTCGATCGTTATTTTTGTAACGCGGCGTCAAACCGCTTAAAAAACACTTTATACCAGTTAGTGTAATTTTTTTTTCAAATATTGTTTTTATTTTTTATTTTTTTTTTTCAATTTAGCGTAAAACGCGTCTTTGCCGTTCAGCACAATTCACTTGAATGATTGTGTCGTTGTCATAAATAAAAATGCGAGCATATTAAAGCAGATAAAAAAGTAAAAAAAAAAACTCAAGTAGAAAATAAAAAAAAAACAAAATATTTAATTTTATTCGTTATCTTGGTTTGATAGTTTTTTTTTTAACTTCTACTTCAAATTTTTTTTGTATCATGCAAGCAGCAATTCGTACACCTTATAAATTCGTATAAACAAAACGCAAGGTATGTCTGTATGTACAATTTAAATTATCAAAGCTAAAGAAGTTTTTTAGTAATGCTATTCGCAAACATGCAATACAAATTGTTTGATCATACAAAAAAAATTATATCGTAAATTATTTCTACAAAAAAAAATATATCGTAAAAAATTTACGTTTATACAAGATTTATTATAAAGAGCAATCAAACTAAAGTAGTAGCTTTGTTTTTGATTGAATGTATGAAGGTGCTTTTTAGTACAATTCAAATGTATTGTTATGTATGAGTGCAACAGATATTTAGACTATTGTAATAGCCTACATGCATATAAGTATACACATTAAGTATTAATCATTATTGAATTTTGTTTTTAAATTTTAAAATTTTCGATTTGATTTGGAATTTTATTACTCACAAAAAAATTAAAAAACGTGTAAATTGTTTGTTAATATTTCGAAGTTTGATTGTTTTTAATGCCTTCTTTTCACATTGAATTGTGAAAATTTTCTCAATTAACGTCATAGGACATTAACACTTACATATTGTAAGTATTTTATTACGAATATAAAAAGTATTTGATGCGTCTCTCTGTTACCGTCCTCAGTATAAGTCCAAAAATTTAAAACTCCAAATGCGCTTAAATAGACAAAGTTTCAAATATTCGCTAAAATAAGGACCCAGTTGCAAGAAATTCTCGAGCGAATATTGGATGATGCCGGCAATCTCCATTCGTTGATACAAATATAGAAAAAACATTTCGAATAAAACCTCAAAACTTAAGAAAATATAGTTTTTTAGTTTAATCACCAGGCATGTGAAATAAAAAATTAGAATCCAATTTCGATATTATGTATGTATGTGGCAATTTCGATATTATAGATTTAGAATACAAAAACTTGCAATATCTTATAAATGCAAGCGCCATGAACTCCATTAAGGTACTCTGAAGTATTGTATTTTTATAATACTAACTATATGGAGCGTATTTTTTTCTTCATTTATTATCCCCTTGTTTCTTTTTATTGATTTAAAGAGAATGAGAACAAAAATTAATATAGGAGAATGTGAAAATAAAATGAAAATTCAAGCAAATAGGGAAAAATTATAAGACATTCCCAATACATATAGGAAATAGTCTGTAAAAGCAAAAGAATGAAGTGTTATGGTTGAAATAAGTTGATTTTCCTTTCGTTCTATTTTATAAATTTGTAGTCATTGTAATATGGACTTGTTGCATTTTTTCTGATTTTGATTATTTTATGTTGTCTCATTGTATAAACTTAGCTGTCTGTGTCTAGTCTGTGGACAAAAATAGCCAACTTATACCCTTGTATGAAATGTGTAGAATGTTGCATTTAATTTTTTTAGTGTCGTTGTTGGATTAAAAGTGGATTAATGTTTGCCGGTGTTTTTGTTTTTTCTGTTTCTGAAACATATATATATATATATATATATATATATATTTGTATGAAACTAAAATTAAATAACAATGTAAATTGTTATATAAATAAATACATATTTACTCGTATATACATACACTTTTAATTGCACAGCTTAAAAAGTGAGTAATTTTTTAGTCAAAAGAAACCATGTTATAGATATACTATTATACACAATATTATTATACAAAAAAAAAACTGGCAGTTTTTGTTTCAGTGTAGATAGAGTTTTAAAAGAAAATTTCTTTAAAAACTCTATGATAATTGAAAAATTTTTAATTATGTTTGTATGAAATGTAAAGTTACTTGTTATTTGAAAAATATTAAATGCGGTTTATGGACAAGAAACCTTCATTACGTACAGCTCTCGAAAGATAAAATGGAAACTCGAAATAAAATTCAACAAATTTAAATAAATTTTATTAAACGTGCATACACATACTACCCTATAACTAAAAAATTTCCTTAAATAATTTTTAATGAAAATTTGGAATAAATCTGCAACTTTATATTTATGACCAAATTTCGGTTCCTTAATAATTAAGAAACTATTTATTGCAAATTCAAAAATTATAATTTTAAAATTGCACTTATCCCGCAAGATTTAAATTCCTATATCGCACCCTAAAAATAATACCGTAGTCTATTTTCATATTGTTGAACTTTAAAAGTTGTTACAAATCGGAAAAAGCAATTTTTGTATTTTAGGAAAAATGTTGCACTATTTCAGTATAATAATAGCAGTGTAAAATTATCAGCAACTTTAGAATATGGATGCTATCCTAAAATCTTATGTATAAAATGACAAAACTGGATTTAGAAAATTTTTTAATAAAAATGACAAATTCCGAGAAATTTCTCAGTGACTTGGTGACTTCCACTTATTTCAACATTTTTCTCTTCCACCAAAATTTCTATCTAAGAAATTATTATTTGAGTTGTTGCGGTATTATTCTCAGTGTGCAATGCAATATACACAATCCAAAGAATTATAAGACCTAACAAAAAAAAATATATAAAATTATTACAAAAAAAAAAACTCTCTTTAAAAAATCTAAAAATAGCCACAACTTTTTATTCTTGTTGTTTTTTCGCGAATATCTGAATGTCTGATTAATCTGCAGTTTTATAAAAAAGAAAAAAGGGCTTTTTAAAGTTATTACAATTTCATTTAACAAGGAAAAAAAAAACAATTAAAAGCAACAGAAAAATAATAGGCTTCTTTGTTGTGCAACAAGGCAGCACAAAGTAAAAAAAAAAAACAAAAACTGAGTTTTATTGCAAAATGCGTAGTCAGAAAACCGCGAAAAATTGCAAAATTTTTTGTATTTAAAAATTCAATTGAATAAAAATTTCATGTATCATTTTAATAATTTTAAAATGGTAGGTGTTTTTTTGCTATATTTATCTTTGAAAGTGTATTTATAGACCTCTAAAGATTATTTAAAATTTTTAATGAATTCTTTCTTATATTAAATTTCATAAAATTGTGAATATTTCAAAAATTGTGTCCAACTAGAAAATTTTTACGTACATATGCATGTTCATTATTGTACATGATCATAGTTATAATATCTTCAAAATAGCTACATACATGTATGCATAAATTATGATGCAGTGAAAACTGTATAAGAAAGAAAAATTCACTATAAAATGGAGCACGTGCATCTAAGTGCATGTACGTAAAATAAAATAAATATTTCCACCCCGCAGTTCATCTAACATTTTCGTTTTTTTTTTGCTCTTTACTAAATAAAATTAAATTTTATTATCCACCTACTTGAAAATTAAAGTGGTCTTATGCATAAAGTAATTATTAAGGAGAAAACAGTGCATTTCCTTTTCCAAATATACTCATAATATGAATATTAATATATGTACACAAACATTTTATTTGTGTTATTCATAGGGAGATTAGATAATTATTGTACAAAGGAGATGTTGCTGTTATTGCTATGACTATATAAGTTTGTTCGTATTTGTTAGGAATATTCATATATGTATGTATAATTAACAATTACATGCGGTATGCAAGAAAAAAAAAACGTAGGTTTACAAATCTTGGCAATAATTATTATTATTATTTAGTAATTATTTTATTTTTTTAAAATAATAAATTGCAATAAATTTTAAACTCTATATTATAAATAAATTATGCACCCAAAAGCGATATTATTATTAAAAACATAATTCATATTTATTAAAATCTTTATTATATGAATTATTACGCTATCTTTTTAAGATAAAAGTAATTTACATAAGATATGGTACAAATTAAATTTATGTGTTATTAATGATTTCACAATTAAAACAAGATTTCCAAAAAAAAAATTGTGAAAATTTTTACTTTTCAGACATAGTTGTTACAGTAAAAATCCTGATTAATTAGCTTATTATTTATAGATAATTTTTAGAAATATTCGTGCATCTTCTATATCTGCTTCTAGTATTAGGTAACTATTAGGTAATTATACAAATTCTGTACGAAATGTAGCCATATTACAGAATAATTTGAGACTGAATAAACGTATCTTACAATTGAAAATTTTTAAGCAAATAAATTTAAATTTAAACTAAATATTTTCATGTATGAAAATAATTTGTGTACTTCCATAAAAATTTGCATAAATTTGGGAGAAAATTTTAAAATGCAATAGATTTAGAGAAAATTTTATTTTGAATTTAGAGATTTAGTACTTGAACAATGTAGGAGTTTTATGATCACGAATAAATATAAAGAGTTAATTCGCAAAATTTTTATTAAACTTTTTTAAAAATGTGCCAATAAAATTGATTTTTGTCTCGGAATTCACAAAATCTGGCATGGGCATAAGATGTTTTGCCTTCCAGTCCCAATTTGAGCTTTTACAACTCTGTTTACGGATGCCGTTTTTAAGTCATGTTTTCGACTTTTTAAGGCAAATTTTTGCTATAATATCGTCCCATTTTTCTTTCGGAATATATAAGATAAAGTTATTAAAATTGTAAAAAAATAGAGATTACATGCAATTTTCTAAAAATCTCCATGTTTCAGAAACTTTTGGACTTTATCACATCCATACCTTTAAACAAATAGTTTATCCAATCTCTGTTCTCTAAAATGGTGGAATAAAATATTTTATTCCTTATGGAATCGGTAATATTTTATTTCCTTATCAGCAACGGAGCTATTATAACGGTATTCAAAAACTTTAACAAAGTAATTTTATTCATATAAAAAAATTTCGAACATTGATTGTAACATGCAATAAATTTTCCATTTGATTTATTGAGAGTATTTCAAATTTTAATATTGAAAACATTTCTTTTATGCAAAAAAAACAAAAAACAAACAGAAAAAA